AACATCTACCTGAGTTTTTTTCTTTGAAAGAAGCTCCTTATGTCCATGTTGTGTTCATCAGTACATAACTGAAACTGATTTAGAGTGCTTTATTTAGCCGTGGAGGATAACAACTGAAAATGTGAAATAAACACACATGTAAGCTAAGACTCTAAAAAAAATTATTGTTGTTCGGCTTTTCATTTCGCCATTTGTTGATTCACTCACAGGGCAAGTAACGCTAAGGGTCAAGTGATCAGTTAGATATCAATCTTTCGTGATACACCGTCATATTTACATTATTTGTACAGTATGAATGATTTGCTTTAGTACCTGGTCAAATTTAGGCTGTCCTCTGTCTGCCTGGCTGCACTTACAGCAAACTCGCAGGCAGCAACTTCTCCCCACTCGCTCAAATGCGTAAGTGCTGTGCTCAGTCGCCTAGTGCCTGAGCCAGGTTCATACCAAAATTAGGGGGAATTTTTGACAGTGACTATGAAACAAATTACACTCCAAAAGACCCCGGGCTTCTGAAAAAATGACCCGGGCTTAAGCCACCCACCCCGCTCCGCCGATGTGTGGAACCCTTCCCTCAATACCCCGTGGACCCTTGGAGCCCCTGTATTACCTGTACGTTATCACTTGGTGCGTGTAAATAAACATTTTTTTGCCTTTCCGAATCTAAATCTTGAGTCCGTTCCATAAACAAAACAAACATTGGCAAGGAAGAAAGCAGTGAATATAAACCCTGTGTTACTTCTATGTAATAGTGCACAAATAAAACAAAAAAGGAAACATAAATCTTAGAAATCTACCAATTCTAAAAATCTTAATAAAACCAAATCAAATCTTTGAAATCTAAATGGCTTTAGAACATGACAGTACATTAGGCAACATTTCTAGTATGTCCAACAGTTTCATTGGTTATGCTTTAATCAACGTATATTTGTAAAATACTTCTTTAACATCATGATTTCAAGATACTGATGAAACAACAATTTAAAATGATCCTTTGAGAGGATATTCAGAAGTTGATTAGCTTTCAGTACATCAGAGCTTTCATAATGGTCACAAACTCTTAAACAAATTATTAAATAGACATTAAATAGACTTTATCTAAAAGTCACAAAGTCTGTTGTTTAATCTGAGGTGTTAGCATAAACCAGTGGTTCTCAATCTTTTCACAATGAGTACCACCTTATAACAATATGTGGCTCTTAAAGTACCACCCTTATGACCGACATTAAAGTACCGTAGTATAGGCCTATTTAACACCATATACAGTTTACACTATACTGTTTTGTTTCTTATATGAATATTATTTATTTTAATTGTTATTAGATGTAAGAAGTTGTAAAAATATGAACGGAACATAAATCATCTACCTCATTATGAGATCATATAATTGATTTTTTTTTCTAGAAATGTTTGTCCATCTATCCATTGTCTTCTGCTTATCCGGGGCGGCATCACAGGGGCAACAACCAAAGCAGAGAAGCCCAGACCTCCCTCTCCCCGGACACATCCTGTATCTTTTCCGGGGGAGCACCAAGGCATTCCCAGGACAAATGAGAAATAAACACCCTCCAGTGTGTCCTGGGTCTACCCCGGTGCCTCGTCCTAGAAATGTTTATTCATTCTAAAATTTAGACTATTTATTTCAAAAACAACACAGGAGGAATTATGACCGCACCAACCAGAATTTTGATATAAAGAGCACAGCACTCAGGTATTGCAGGTATTACTCTTATTTTATTTAGGATGGACCGATATTTCCACTACATAATTAAACCAATGAAGAAAAACAGCACACAGATTTAGTACTGCAGGAGCCAAACTTTTACTGAGTAATTAGTTAAAAACCAAACAAAAACAATGTTCATCTTAATAAAGTGAAAAAGTGCAACACAATGAAAACAAAGAAACCCCTTCCATATTAAAAATCCATAACAAAACCATGAAGTTAGTAGCACTTAATCCTATGGCACTTTTGAAAGCACAAATAAACAAAAAATAAAACAACATCATATAGATTTTTAAATCTTTTAAAAAATCAGATCTTTGAAACTCTAAAAGGCTTTAAAACAGTACAATACATTGAGCGGAATTTAAAATGTCTAACAATTTAATTGGTTATACTTCACTCATCTTGTGTTATAACTGACAAAATATTTCTGCAATGTCATGTTTTCAAAACTTAGAGTTAAAAGACTGAGAAAACAAAAATGTAAACCCCCCCCCCCCCCCCCCCCCCAAAAAAAACCCTCCTATTAGATGTTTCTTGACAAAGTGTTTTGACTTTACTACATCAAAGCTTTCATAGATGTGACAAACCCATAAACAAAGTACTCATTTGACCCAAACAAGCAGTGGAAGTAAATTTCCTCTGCGTGAGAAAGTCTGTTGTTCAATCTGAGCTGTTAGCAGAGATGACACATGACTAGAAATTCTGAGCACATAAAAAAGTTTAAGCCTCCAATTTATTGAATATAGTCTATATTTGAAGCAATTCTTTTTCTAAATATCTTACTCTAAAACTAAAATGACCATAACAAATACTTCTTTTCATTTTGTTTTTGCCTTTACATATAAACACAGAAATACTAAAAAAAAGAAGACTTGGATTCTCCTTCCCATGGAGGTGTTGAGCACAAACATGAATCCCCCTCATTATCTTTGATCGCTTTCACATTGTTGTTTGAAGTTGTCCAGCTGTGATCTAGGACACACTGATCTCCGGCAATCAGTAAACATAAAATAAATTTAAAAAATATAACAATGGTTTTTAGATGTTAAAAAGTTTGTTTGTTGTAAAAAATATTTAATCTTCCTATAAAGAATGGGTTAGTGAACATATTTACATTTCATATGTTGTATTTAGAACTTGCTACACTGATTTTCAATGTTTAATTTTTTTGCTCATATAGAAAAAAGTCCTGTGTTTGGTAATTTGTTTCCTTTCACACATATACTGTTGCCAATAGGAGCAATAGAAACATATAATCTAGGGGACAGGGCTTTAATTTGTAACATATCTGCCAAGACTGTTAAGAAGACTTAACAAAATGATGAAAAATGATCTCATCATGACCATAATATGAACATGTGCACTATACCACTATAACTATTAACTACCAACTATTGTTCACTCAGCATTTTATTTTACTGGAGATTCACTACTATCCGCATCTTTGTTCTGAATGCCAAAGGCCACAGGACCTCTGATAGTAAATCCGAGGTAAAAGGTAACTTGACTTTTTTTCCAAAGGCTGTTCCTCAGATTGGCATTGATCTCAATCTCTTTACCACCAACTCTTGTATACACTTTGTAGTTTCTTACTTCTCCATCAAGTCTGAGAAGGAGCTCTTGAACAGCAGGATTTCTGAAGATTTCTTCTTTCTTCCAGTTATCGCTCCAGTCTGCTTCAATCACTTTCAGATGTTTTTCAATAATTTCTCTGTGAACAATTCTCTTCAGACCTTCACCTTTCCCAATGAAAAACAATGGAAGTAGATACCTGTTTCGAAAGAACTTCTTATATGCATTTTCATAAGAGTTGTGCATTTGCTGAGACAACTCACTGAGGTCAAAATCACATTCGTCTATATTTTTGGGCCAGTCCAAGAGGATAGCTAACATGTGCAGCTCAGGTGGGTCTGTGTCAGTCAGGGGCATTTTCCCTCTAAATTGTGTAAGGATGTTGTTGACCAGAGCTGTTTTTGAAACTGCAATTGGAAACTGCATTTCTCTACACTTTGTAGATATTTCTTTGCACTCTGATTGAGTGTATTGTTTGACAAGAAATGACAGTACTTCTACAGACTGGTCATCTAGGTTTCTTTTCTTAAACATCTGGATGAGTTCTTCTGTGGTTGTGTTTCCAACATAATTTTGGTAGCAGTATTTGCTCTTGTCAAATATATATTCAGGATCATCGTTCTCCATGTTAGGTTTTGAGTAAGTCAGAAATTTAAAAAAAAAGCAACACCTTTTGTCAACTTCATTCCTGAGGCTTACTATGAAATCGTTGAATTTTAAGAGTTTGGTGTCTGGTTTGATGACAGAGCCCATTGATACTTCTGTTGTGAGAACTTTTTCCCACTTTTCATTTTTTCCGGAAAGTCTCTCAAACAGAATATTGCAGACCATCAGGTACCAAAACTTTACTCTGTAGTTATAAAAAGATGAGATGTTTGTATTGCCATGTTCTCTCACATCTGGTCCATCTTCATTCTCAGCAAGGTTTTCTGCATTTTCAAAAGCTTCAATGGCTTTTTTGGCCCGCAGCAAAATTTCTCCTTGTTCGACAGTAACTTTGTTGTTCTTTAGGTGGTTCTTATGGACTTGGCCAAGTGTGTCAGCAACAAAAGAATTTTGAGGATTTCTGTTTATTGCGCTCTTTGCCCAATTTTCTGCTTGCTCGTAGTCTTTCAGTTTAATGTAATAAAAGCGAGCAAGAGCTTGTGGAAAGTTTGTACTTTGACCAAATATTTTTGAGGCCATCGTTAAAACTGACACACTCTGGCCTTCACCTTCCTTTTTATCGTCTGTAATATCTCGAATTAATCTAGAAAACTTTTCCTGTTTAATTTCTGTGCTGTTGACTTTTCCTTTTCCTTTCCTTTCCTTTCCCTTTTCCTGTTCCTTTTCGTTTTTCATTTCTCTTTTGGTTAACATGTCTTTGACAAAATCAAGAAACCATGGCGGAATTGGATCTTTGAAAAAATTCCTCAAGAAGTTTCTTGTTGTGTCACTTCTGGTCACACCTGCATTTGCCAACAGTTCAGTACAACACTGAGCTATCATATTGTGAGCCATGCAGACTTTTTTTTCGGATCTTTCATTTTGTTGGAAGGTAATAATGAGATGATTGAAAGGCTGCATTTGATCCTCCAGTGAAAGGCCATTATACCTGTCTTTACTGAGAAACTTCAGGCACTGAGACTCCAGGAGATATGAACCTGGTACGTAGGCATTCAGCAGGCACAGGAAGGTGGTAAGCTGCGTCTTTAGTGGTTTTTTTGTTCTTTTGATATGTTCTAATGTAGCACATGCATTCCTGATGTAGGCTTGAGAGAACTTAGACTGCAGAATGTTAAAACCATGAAACTGCTTGCACCGATCACCAAATCTTCTGCCAAGCTCTTCTTTTTTCATATCAAAGTCTGCTTGCTCTCTGGCTGAGAGAGATTTTTTGAGAATAATAGATTTTCTCATTTTCTCATTTTCTGTTTGTTTGTCAGAATGTTCCATTTGGTGGATAAGCCCATCACTACTTCTCACACAGTTGAGTAAAATGACCACAGGCATAACAGCATCAACTTCTTCTTTAGTAATTTCTGTTATAATGCTGTGATGGAGATTTTTCAGGATTGGCTCATCATCATTAACTAACAGCAACACAGTGTTCTGGTAGTTTCGACTGCCTGCCATGAAAAGTCGGACTATCTCATTTGCAACTTTTGTGATATCTAATGTTGAGCCTGTCAAAACAGCACATCTAAAGGTATCCCTCAAGTCCCACAGCACCTGCATAGCCAGTGTGGTTCCCCCACATCCTTGTTGATGGAACAGTTTGATTGTTGATGTCACAGGGCCTTTTCTTCTCAGGTGAATTTGTTCTTTAAGGGTTTCATATCCATCTCGTTTGATAAAAGGAGTTGCATTGCCATCTGACACTGCTTGTTCACTGATATAGAAGTTTAACCAGTTCGGTGGGGCCCCTCTGTAAAAGTTTTCCTCCACTTGCTCAGCGTGTTGAGGTTCAACAAACTTTCCTTCAAACTGATTTGCATGAAGAATATCCAACAGCGTGAGGGAATCTCTGAATCCGCTCCCCACATACACTTCTCCACCATTAGCAGTGGACAGGGCTGGTCCATTTGCCATCTTCAGGCTCAAGTGTCCTGTGCCAGGCAAATGCTAGAAAAGAAAGGTCACTTAGTTTGGACTGTTAATCAGTGCTAGAAGGGCAAAATGAGAACTGAAACATATTTTTGCACATTTACAGCATCACATACATAAAAACTGTATGAATGTGATTCATAAATCCATCAACATCTTCGCAGATGCAATTTTATAAAGTATATTCTTACCTTGTCTTCCAGTTCTTGCAAACGTAGCTGAACTCTTGTCAAATTTTCTGCTGATCTGTGACTGGTAACTATGAACTAAAACCTGTGAAACAGGTAGCTGGTATATATAGTATATAGCCACATGCCACACCCAGGTAGGCATGAGCGTGAATGTTCACACCCATCAGCATTAGACTGTGAATACAAAAGTGACTTTTATGCTATGATCAAAATGTTAGAAGGAATCAAGTTAGAACATATTCGCTGTCACAGAACAAGGTAGACAGGAGTGAGGCATATTTGAGATATTTAGATGAAAGATAATTAACAAGAATTTAGTGATGAAAGATCAGGGAAAAAGTTAAGAGGGAAATCTTGTATATCAGTGTTCATGGCAATTGATGAGGAAAAATTTAGATTATTGTATTCTTACTTTCTTACTTTTCTTACCAGCAGTATCGTTTTACTGCAGAGGTTGGACATTTCTGGTAAAGGGTGGGGTGTGTTCAGTTACTGGCAACAGACCATGCAAATTCTTTACCAATAAATTTGTAACACGGTAACGGTGTAAAAAAAAATGAAGGTCAACTACTAAATTAATTTTATTAACATGAAAGAGAGTCATATTAGCATACTTATTTTAAGGGATGTAAAGGTTTCAGTCATCTGTCAGTCCGCCCCAGGGCAGCTGTGGCTACAATGTAGCTTGCTATCGCCAGTGTGTGAATGTGTGTGTGAATGGGTGTGTGAATGGGTGAATGACTGAATGTAGTGTAAAGCGCTTTGGGGTCCTATGGACTAGAAAAGCGCTATACAAATGCAGGCCATTTACCATTTACCATTCTTATTATGAAACTGCATTTCTTCACTATTGATTCTGACTGTCTCTGTAGGCACGTGTGTCTGGTTTTAACAGTGCTACAGTACAAAACTCATGTTAAAAAAAAAAAGAAAAAAGAAATTACTAAATGAATTCAAGCTTTAAAAAAATTGTCCATGTTATTAAAAGGTATTTTTTCTACTTTTGTTTCATTTCTTTCACTTTAAGTTTTCTTTCATTCTCATAGCAAAACCTACAACTGCATTTCTTCACTGTCAGATTTTACTGTTAACCTCTAAACCTGCCAACTAGGTTTTTACTGGGTACTGAGGTTTTAATGTAGCACCTGGAGGAACACTGGAGGAAGTTTTTAGGATATTTTTTTAGCAAAAGAACCAAATAAAACTACTACTATTAATATTACTATTACAAGTAAAAGTTTAATACTGAAAATTTCTCTAAAATGTATTTCAATATAACTGCTGCAGATGGGTTTAAGTAATCTTTTTGGAAGCCACTGTCCCAAGCAGGAGAGTATATTAAAAATGGCCATGTACTTCTGTTATTTACGTTATGCAGTTCGACCATCAAGTTCTCTAATCTATGTCATGACAGAATGGGAGTCTGCACTAGACTTAGGAGTTGACTGATGAGGTACAGGGAAAAACATAACTGAATTTGTGAAAGATAGACTGAAAATCTATGTTTACATGACAAAAAAATCTGAAAATCACCTTGATTGAAGGAATAAGATACATCTTTAAACTGTGATCACATTTTCTGAGTAAATACTATAAAACTCTGAATGATTGGCCATTATTATTAAAATGTGGCTAACCAGCTTTTGTTTGTAATTGCTAAACACCCAGGGTTGTCTAAACAAACGGAACGGAGTCATAAATTGAATGAGTCATATTTCCCCCTTTGTGGTTGACCCAGAACCAGAAATTTAGGCATGTTTCCCAAAAATAGATTTTCAACATTGCATATCCTGACATTCCCAGTAATGAAGAATGTTTTGACATTTATATTCTATAACCCAGGTGGAAACTGGAGCTTGTGTTATTTCTAAAATGCTTAAGATAGCTTTGACCCAGCTGTTTAATTAAGTGTCTCTCTTCTGTTTCGTCTAACTAATTGGGGTTGAAAGAACTTGTCTTTAGCTAACTTGACTTTTTGCAACTGTTGTTCAAAAAAGTTCCATTAATACATTTACTGTTGTAATTTTGAAGTTTATGAGGGCAATGAGTGCGCAATGCAATCATTTTAAGTGTAAAGCTCAACTGTGTAACTCGTATTTCTCCTTGGTAACTGCACCTGTAACTCGTTTGTATCTCTCATCTCTAACTCTGCATAAGCACACCACATTGCCAACCTTGAAATTCAAAACTGACAGCAGCATGTTAATTTTA